TGCCACGGCCTCAGGGACTTGTTGGAGCTGCACAGGGTCTGCCGCGGCCTGTTGCGTCTGGGAACGCCGTAGAAACCGAGATTGCTGCATGAGTGGCCCGTGGGAAGTGGACAGAAATTGCTGTGGCCTGGGTGGCTCCTGGGCGGTGAACAGAGAGTGCTATAAGCGTTTGGGGAGTTTTGGCGAGTTGTGAAGGCTGGCAAACGGCAGCCTTGAACCTCCATAAAAGGACATTGCCACGGCTTCAGGGACTTGTTGGAGCTGCAGGAAAGGATCCGGGGGAACGTAGGGGAATGGGGTGGGGGAGCTCAGTTACCCTTAAAACTTTCTCCGTGTTATCTTCATTTAAGCTTTTGGGGGGAGTTTTGACGAGTTTTGAAGCCTGGCAAACGGCAGCCTTGAACCTCCATAAAAGGACATTGCCACGGCTTCAGGGACTTATTGGAGCTGCAGGAAAGGTTCACCGCGGCCTGAGTGGCGCCTGGGAGCTGCAGGGAAGCGTTTGGGGAGTTTTGGCAAGTTTTGAAGCCTGGCAAACGGCAGCCTTGAACCTCCTTAAAAGGACACTGCCACGGCCTCAGGGACTTGTTGGAGCTGCAGGAAAGGTTCACCGCGGCCTGAGTGGCGCCTGGGAGCTGCAGGGAAGCGTTTGGGAAGTTTTGGCGAGTTGTGAAGGCTGGCAAACGGCAGCCTTGAACCTCCTTAAAAGGACAGTGCCACGGCCTCAGGGACTTGTTTGAGCTGCACAGGGTCTGCCGCGGCCTGTTGCGTCTGGGAACGCCGTAGAAACCGAGATTGCTGCATGAGTGGCCCGTGGGAAGTGGACAGAAATTGCTGTGGCCTGAGTGGCTCCTGGGCGGTGAACAGAGAGTGCTATAAGCGTTTGGGGAGTTTTGGCGAGTTGTGAAGGCTGGCAAACGGCAGCCTTGAACCTCCATAAAAGGACATTGCCACGGCTTCAGGGACTTGTTGGAGCTGCAGGAAAGGATCACCCGGCCTGAGTGGCGCCTGGGAGCTGCAGGGAAGCGTTTGGAGAGTTTTGGCGAGTTTTGAAGCCTGGCAAACGGCAGCCTTGAACCTCCATAAAAGGACATTGCCACGGCTTCAGGGACTTGTTGAGCTGCAGGAAAGGTTCACCGCGGCCTGAGTGGCGCCTGGGAGCTGCAGGGAAGCGTTTGGGGAGTTTTGGCGAGTTTTGAAGCCTGGCGAACGGCAGCCTTGAACCTCCTTAAAAGGACACTGCCACGGCTTCAGGGACTTGTTGGAGCTGCACAGGGTCTGCCGCGGCCTGTTGCGTCTGGGAACGCCGTAGAAACCGAGATTGCTGCATGAGTGGCCCGTGGGAAGTGGACAGAAATTGCTGTGGCCTGAGTGGCTCCTGGGCGGTGAACAGAGAGTGCTATGGCCTGGGTGGCTCGTGGAAAGTGCAAAGCATTGGGAAAGAAAAAAAGTTCCACACCTGCGGTGGTCCCAGGCGCCGCCCCTGCCTTGGCTACGGCAGGGGTCGGCGGATATCATATGTTTGTTGGTAACGTGTCTTTTTTCGGCACCATGCCGATGACAGAAGTTTCAACACTTGGCAGCAGCATCAACACAAAACGCCAGTTGGGTCCAGCATCCTCCGCGGCAGAAGGTGTGGGATGTGCCGAGGGAATGGTACTTGGAAATGAATGCGGCTATTCACATGGCTTCCACAGAAAAATTGATAACAGTTGTTTCCCGGTTTCCCCTTTCTGCATCTGAAGGTCTGAAGATCACACGACTTTTTTCGTACCTGCTGGGTGAAGGGATGGCAGGCAAAGCCGAGGGAAAAGCTGATGGACCTCCAGGCGATGCCAGCACCTGTGCGGGTAGCGGCGCAGAAAGCCTGGAGGTGCCGGAATGTGATGGTTAAACCGTTAAACCGGTTAAACGGTTGACGGGATCATGATGGGAATCCTTTGAAATATGGGAATGATGTGAGGAAGTTGATGCATAGAGAGAGAGAGAGTCTCTTGCAGGAAACCATGGTGAAAGTACCAACCAAACTTTTGTTTTTGTGAAATTGCAATGTATGTAGAAACAGCTGAACTCTTCGAGAAGGCGCTGGTGAGAGGGCGAGTTGTGACTCCCACAACGCCAGGACACCGGGGGGTCAACAGCCAGCAAGGAGTACACGTCCTTTGGTAGCGAGGGCGGAGGGAATTCAAGGACAGAGAGGGAGAGAGAGAGAGAGAGAGAGCGATATATATATATATTATATACACACATGCACATACACATAATCTATATATATATATAGTCACCCTGGAGTTGATATAATATGGACATTTCAAAAAATCCTCACTAGAATGGGGATATGTTTGAAAATCCGATATGCTATCTCCTCCAGGATGATTATATTCTCGTGGATTTGATGCGCGTTGCTCACATCCCAGAAATTCAACTTGCAACTGCACAACAGCAGTCTTATAGAAAAGACACCGATTTTCCAAGGACAAACTTTTTTTTTGGTTCCGTGTTTACTTCCAATGATATTTAATATATATATATATATATATTATATGTATATATATATGCTATTTATTTCCTTCTCTCTTTTTCCTCATCAGTAGTAGCACTGCCGGACTAGCTGCAGTGTAATTAGCTGGTGCTTTTTTCCAGTGCTGAGCGGAGCAAATACATGAACACGTAGCTGGCAAATGGCTGTTCATCACCAGCCGGTGCCCCCCAGTAAAAAGTTGGTTTATGTCTATAACCACCATTAACTATAGATATATGACATATGATATATGATATATCTACCATACATGCCCTACTAGCATCGTTGCTCACCACAAACCGTGGGGGCCATTGCGTAGAGGGGGTTCTCGGGGGTTCTCTCTCCTTTTTTGGCGTTTGTTGACCTCTAGATGTACAGTTGAACCATTGTTGGAGTTAGTGACCAATCTCCCCAAATCGCCCACCTCGACTGAGGTTTGGAAGTAGCCACAGTGTGCAGCTAGCGGCCAGCGGAGCCAGCGGAGCCGGCGGAGCCGCTCGTGGGGTCAGCGGCCTTCCACCCAGTGGCGCGGTCCCGCCCAAACCGAAGCTTCCACCGGTAGGCGCGGTCCCTGCGAAACTGAAAGGGGAGATGGAATGATGGGTGGGAATCATGGATCATCTCAGTTTCACTTATAAGTCAATCTATATCTATGTGTATCTCTATCCATCTTTCACTCCATCTTTGTACGCCTTCGTATGCATCCATGCGCAAGTCTTATGTATACATACAGGTTTGTTTGCATGAACAAGGTATATAGGCTAAAATCAAGTGGTTTATCATTTCCCCGTCTTTATATACATGATAAATTTGGATAAATTTGGGGTGTAACTTATTCTCAGACACACCCAATATTTGCACATCAGGTAGATTGGTCGCGAGGAGTCATGCCACATGGCAGCTTTCACCTGGATTTTTGAGCCCATCATCTGGTGATTTCCCAATAAATGAGACCATGCAAAGGCATGTAAAGGCTCCAAATTCCTACAAATATCTGAATCAACTCCTCGCCCTCCCATATATAATTATGTATATTATTGTATATTTATATATACATATGTACGTATATACTCACACACACAGATATATATATATATGCACGCACACACACACATATATATATATACATATATACACATACATATATATATATACATATATATATATATACACATACACATACACATACACATACATATACATATACATATACATATACATATACATATACATATACATGCATGCATGCATGCATACATACATATATATATATATACACATATAGTACCATATGCACACACAGGTACGGTGGACGGTATAGTTTGTTTTGACCCCATCTGCTTCTGTGCTGCGCGATGACCGTCAGGATCCCGATCTTCTGTCAGGGGCTTATTCCAAGCGACTGCTGGGCTGGTGAAGTCACGAAAGCTAGCGTCAGCTAGCTGGAGTCTTCTTGCTTTAGCAAGTATTCCGGGGGCTGCTCAAGGACATCACGTGATTTTTCACGCGAAAGGGGGGGACCCCCCCCCACCACCACCACCATCACCACCATCACCACCATCACCATCATCATCATCATCTTCATCTTTATCGTCATCATCATCGTCATCATCATCATCATCATCGTCATCGTCCTCGTCATCATCATCGTCCTCGTCATCGTCATCATCATCATCATCATCATCATCGCCATCGTCCTCGCCATCGTCCTCGTCATCGTCATCATCATCATCATCATCGTCATCATC